CATTTAAGAATAGGTAATCTATATTATATATAAAAAGTGACAATACAAATGTTTAAACCAAAAATCTCGACATCGATATGTTTTATGCATGTTGTGAGCGTTGAATTTACCATAAATAGTAAAGATTGGTGCCGGTGTAATACAAGGTCGATTTTCAAAATTTTCAAGACGACCCGTGGGTCAATAGCGCAGTGGTTAGCGCTCCCGGGTCACAATCACAAGGTTGCAAGTTCGAGTTCACTGGGTAACAAACGGCTCTGCCAGGACCACGATTAGCTAAGATCTTTGGAGGATTTTCTATTAAAAAATGAAGAACAAGATTCGTACAAGTTGCAGTCCGCCGGCACAGCCACGGGGCCATGATGACCAGATAAGGCGTAATCCGTCAACAAACGACGCTAAAATTGAGAAAAACCCAGCTTAAGGATTACTAAAATCAAGAACATCAGATATAAAAGGACAATCCGGCTTGTGGGTCATGTGAAGTTAGGGAACTGCAGATCTAGAGAACATAGATCCTACACCGCGGCACCAGGGACCCGGGACGTCATATGATGTACTTAACGGAGCATGAGTTATCTCACCAGTATGGTGACATATAGGGGGCCAATTCGCCATACCGGTGATCTCCGCAGATACGAAAACCCTGGCCTTTGAGAGATGTGAAAGATCCGAAGATGTCTAAGGACCTTCGAGATGCGGAGGGAGGAAAAAAAAAAAAAAAAAAAAAATTTCAAAATTTACAAAATTTTCAAAATTTTGAAAATTTTGAAAAAAAAGTAAATTTTGAAAAAAGGGCAAAACAACAAAATTTTGAAAAACGACAAAATTTTGTAAAAAGAGTAAAATTTTAAAATTTTGTAAATTCATTCGATATGTAAAAATAAGTATATAAACGCTTCATATTTACCTTCAATAAAGATAACTCCGGGGAGTTCAAAGTTCAAAGTTAAAGAAATCCGAGTATTTAACTTGAGATTCACTCTTCTATTGTTAATTCGATTGGAGTTCAACATTAAAGAAGTGTTGTTCTACTAATCCCCCCCCCCGATAAATAAAATCTGTGAAAACGATTGGAATTCGTGACCAAATCCCGTGATTCTGAATAAGGAGATTCGTGACGTAATAAAGAGCTCTAATCCGACACTATCGCTAAGAACCCAATTCACCCTAGTTACTCAGACCAAGTCTTTCCACGCCTCGATCGTTGCCTTACCAATACTAGGGGTTTGGTTATATTAGTTGTGGTGTAGTGGTTAGAGTAGTTTAGTTAGTTTTATTAGTGTTTGGTTGGATTATTTGGACCGGTGCATTATTCGCACTCCCACAATGTATAAATGCAAAATGTCAATATATTGTTCTCTAATTTATGAATGGCACATGAAAAATAACGCGTATCAAGAGTTTAATTGCAAAAAACGAAATATAACCTACGAATAACACATGAAGAATGAAGATGTAAAAGGACTATCTTCGGCAGGATGTCATGTGAACATGTGTTAGAAGTGGCGCAATATTCATTGTAGTTACTGTAAGGTTTGCTGAATATGCAAGCAAAAAGATTCTTAATAATACTGTATGGCGCTAGTGTTAGCAAACTAAGTTAATAGCACCAAAGTTATTGTTAAAGAGTAGTAGTATATAAGGAAACAAGAAAAAAAAAGGCGTGACTGTATTTCTTTACATTTAAAACTTGTACGATTCTAGCAAATAATCATATACCATACTAAATCGTTTAGGCACAGATGTATTGTTGGCCACGGAACCTGCTCGTTCAAATAGAAGGAATAGGTTCAATAAATAATAATAACGGATTTATAATTTTGACCGATATATAATTAATGCTTAAGTACATGCATATAATGGATTGTACGTATCTTGGTTAGATCGTGCAATTTTTTTTTCTATAGCTCATGTCGTCCTCGTAGTAAGATCTTCAGCCAAAATTTCTTTGCAATTCTCTGAAAGGAAATATCATATCTGAAAGTAACAATCATAATGTATAAATGCCGATAAACCAAATTCGGTCAAGTTTTATCAGTTGTCCTACGTAGAATTATGAGAACAGCTGTAAATTTACAGTATTTGCTTTACTAAAATACCGGTAGTATTCGTGTTACATATTGTGCTATACTTACGTACGTACGTACGTACTTACATAAAGAATAGATCTGCGGCTCATTAAACTATCTTTAACTCATAAAGATAATTATGCTAAAAAGTATTAAAAACAAGAATATTAAAAACTTAAATCAAGGATGGACAAGCGATTACATTAAAAATTTTCAACTTGAGACCACAGTATGTGAGGATGTGATTGAGTGGATCCCTTTTAATAAATTAAATAACATTCAAAAGAGCGGTGATGAATTTTTAGCGATCTGGCTGGATGGCATACGAATCTCTATACAATTTCCGTGTTTAATTAACCTTAAAATATTGCATAATTCTCGAAATTCAGTCGACCTGTTGGAAGAGGTAAGATATAGAATAAAATCTATATTTATTATATTAATTAATATGTATTTTTACTTCTAAGTGCTTATAAATTATATAAATTATATTTACTCATTAAAAAGTTTAAAAATTATGTAAAAGACAACAAGCTTAAAGTATATGGACTAACTCAAAACACAGCTACTAATGAGTATATGTTGGTATTTGATAAATTTCATTCCAAAAGAAATTTTTGGAACGGAAGATGTGAACGTTGTAATCGATATAACACATCACTATTTTGGTGCCAAGCGTGTGACCCTCAAGGTACGGCTCAAGGATGGACAAGTGGAATTAAAATTATTGATGATTACCTTAAAGAATTTCAACTTAAATCTACAGAATACGAGAATGTGATTGAATGGATTCCTTTTAACAAATTAGAAAACATTCAAGAAAATGGTAATGAACTTTTAGCAACTTGGCTAGATGGCATACGATCAATTTCTACAAAAGTAATGGGATATGGATTTGAATACACACAATCACGTACATCACCATGTGTAATTAACCTTAAATTATTACCTAATTCTCAAAATTCAATGAATCTGTTAGAAGAGGTAAGATATAGGAGAAATATATATTTATTTTATTATTATGTGTATCTTTATTTTTATATATTTATAAATTATAAATTGTATTTACCCATTTAAAAAAAGTTTAAGAACTATATAAAAGATAGCGAGCTTAAAGTATATGGACTAACTCAAAACACTGCTACTAATGAACATATGTTGGTATTTGATAAATTTCACTCCAAAAGAAGTTATGCGAATGGAAAATGTGCATGTTGTAATCGATATAACACATCACCAGTTTGGTGTCATCCATGCGATTCTCAAAGAATGACTCAAGGATGGACAAGCGGAAATAAGGATATTGATGATTGCCTTAAAGAATTTCAACTTAAATCTACAGAATACGAGAACGTGATTGAGTGGATTCCTTTTGACAGATTATATAATATTCAAAAGATTAAATCTAGCGACGCATTTCAGGCAACCTGGGAAGATGGTAAACGATCAATCTTAAATTGCACAAAGTCGCGTACACCATCATGTTTGGTTGATCTTAAGGCTTTATCTAATCAGCAGAATCCATTAGATTTTTTGAAAGAAGTAAGCTAAAATATTAACCTGTTATAATTACTTTATATATTAGCATTAACTTTGCTGTATATCTTTATTCATTTTGCAAGTTTACAAATCAAATGCAAATAGAAAATAAAATATATGGAATAACACGATTTTCAGGCACCGGTGAATATATGATTGTATTTGAAAGTACAATTAATAATAGAGATAACGATGAATTTGATTCTAAAAGACATTATTTGTATGGAAAATGTACAAACTGTAATCGATTTAATACTTCAAAAGATTGGTGCCAATCATGTGACCCTTATAGAATAACTCGGGAATGGACAAGTGGTAATAAAATTATTGATGATTGTATTAAAGAGTTTCAACTTAATGCTACGGAATATAAAAAAGCAATTGAATGGATTCCATTCGAAAAATTAAGTGTTATTAGGGAGATTGGTAAAGGAGGATTTGGTACGGTGTTTTTGGCCAATTGGCAACCACAATCTATGAAGGTAGCACTCAAGACTTTACCTGGGTCAAAAAAAAATTCTAATGACTTTCTGAAAGAAGTAAGATAAAATTATAATTATTTTGTCTATGGTGTATAATATCTTTAATTTACGCAAATTTTATTTTTATTAGTTTAGAAGTCATATCCATTGTAGATTAAGTGGTAGCAGACTTGCAGTATATGGATTAACTCAAAATACAGAAACAGAAGAATATATGATGGTATTACAATATGCTAATAAAGGAGATCTTCATAATTATCTAAAATCGAACTTTGAAGAACTAACTTGGGAAGATAAATTATCATTATTAATCGATATTTTAAAGGATCTAATAAAAATTCACAAAGCAGGATATATTCACTGCGATCTTCACTGCGGCAACATTTTGCAACATGAAGAATCATGGCTGGGTTCGTTAAAATCCTATATTACAGATTTAGGACTATCACGAAAGAATGAAGAATACATTTCAAAAAATGGAATTTGTGGGGTTATGCCTTATATTGCACCTGAAGTTTTATTAGGCCAGGAATATACACCAGCGGCTGATATATATAGTTTCGGCGTTATTATGGCGGAAATGACTACAGGAATACGTCCATTTTATGGACGTTCATTTGACATCGAACTTGCATTAGAAATTTGCCTTGGAAGGAGACCTGATTTTGCTTTAGGAACACCTGGCTGCTATATTGAATTAGCAAAATTGTGTATGGATTCAGACTCGCAAAAACGACCTACTGCTGAAACAATTCATAATAAGCTTTCTGAATGGCATATTTTTGTGAATCGACCTTATGAATCTAATGAATTTAATGAATCTGACGAACTTGATGAATATAGTAAATTGGATGAATTTGATGAATCTGATAAATCCACTGAAGAATTACAGATAATTAGTGAATTTATGGCAGCTGATATAAGAATCCTAGAGCTTTTAATAAATTTGAAAGAACATCCTGATATCGCATATCGATATGCGAGTAAATTTATTAATACACATGAAATTGCTCAGCAATATAAAGAAAGAAACAACCATCTTGACATATATGGTATGGGTGGTCATATACACTACGGATGGATTCGGTTAGGTTATAGCTGTAATAAACCGGCTATAACAGGCCACTGCGGTTATAATTACAGTTTAACCTACTGGTTAATAGTATTGAATTAAGATCTACTATAACCGACGATAACCGAATCGATCAATACTAATACTAATATGGCGGATGGACTGGGAAAGCCTCTGTTTGGCACTTATTTTTAAACTGTTATTTTCCTAGTCCTTGCCCATATACACTACAGTATCGTAATTACATTATTTAATGTAATATCTATTATGTAATGTAGGTTCCAATCCTGTTATTAGTGCTGAAATTCCAGTTGACATAACAGCAAGTCACAGATCAAAAAGACGGAAAACTGGCCAGGAAACATATACTACATACAATTAAGTGCGATATTAAAAGTACCTAATGTGAGACGAGTAACAGGGCCCATCCGAAGCCTAATTATAACCTATTCAACATAGTTGTAATACAATTTCAGATGCATTGTTCCTTAACATCTATAGGGATCCCTAGATTTGATGAGTTCTTACAACGTTTCAGTAATAAATTTATAAATTCAGTCTGCTGAATAAATATATTAAAAGTGTTTACGTAGAAATAAGTTTTAATGAATTAAAGAAATTAAATATTTGAAAAGGTAAAAGGATTTTATGGGTTTTGATGATAAATTATTGTCGCAGCTGATGCTGAAAACGGCTGATGCTGAAATTTGGGATCTCGATTTGAAAATATAAGCCTGTTAAAATTCGCATATACTCTTTAATTATCAATTCTAACCCTAAATCCTAACCTAACCCTAAAAAAGCGGACAAAAGCACCCGAAAAATTTTTAAATTTTATATCAAAATAAAGGCCATTTTCTCACTGCTGGAAATGCATCGTTTAATTAATGAAATAAGGACTCCTTACATTTCTTGATTGTTTTTTAAGTAATTTGCTAAATTCCTTAACCAAATCCACCGATATTAATGCTTGACGAAGCTATTAACATGACGAAATTGGCAAACTTGCAATAAAATTACTCTTAATGAAATTAGCGAAACCACGCATTTCGTCAGGTTTTATCAGTTATGTTAGGCATTATTATTCGTTACAATATGGACCTAAATAATCGACTGTCATCTGTGATTAAGCATTATGTTGCTGAAATATTGAATAAAATCGGATGACATTTTTGAATTAGAGAACATCAATATCGTGTGGTAACCTTTCAATAGTTTAGATAGTTGAGTTTGATTAAATTATGTTAGGGAGTACGCCAATTCGCGTTTTTTAAAAAAAAATTATGTTAGGCCTCAATGAATGAAATATTAATAAATGACATCCTTTTTTGGAAGAGTTGACGACTGTTGTTAAATTATTTACCTTTCTGAAATAACTTTTGCAAGGTCATTTTAGTCATTTAACTTTATTATAAAATTTCATATATTATTTCAGGATCATGCATGACTTTTTTTGGCCCTTTAGCAGTCATTCAACATTGCGCATATGTGAAAATAATTTGCTTTATTAAAAACATAGATCTATTTAAGGTTTACGAGCAAATTTAAAATTACCAGTCATTTAATAATTTAATCTGAATGACCTTTTTTATCTTTGTAAAGCCCATTAAGCTCTACAAACATAAACTTGATGCATTATACTAAAAATCAATTTGTAAATGAATCATTTTTGCTTTATTATATTATTCGTTATCGCAATGGTAAATGTCAAAATTTTAAATTAGGTAAACTTAAGTTATAGTATTTTTTGAAAATGTTAATTATGTTATGTAGTAGCTTTACTATGTACGAATATTGCATACAAGATATTAACACTTTACTTTATTACATGAAGTGATGTAACATAACCTAAATTTGCAAAAATATAATAAACACCATATAATTAATTCAGTTATATCTACAATTTATATTAGAGTTTTATTTTTTAATCTTTAGACCATCGTTAACCCAGTATATTAAATAAAAACCAGTTTGTCTTTTTAACGAATATCTGATAAAAAAATCAAAATGATATTCAGCATAGAAATGAGTCGAGATAAGAGTTACACATGGTAATTTACAAAACTATTAAACTTTCAGAGCAAGAAGTTTGTTTATTTTGTTGATTTAAGTTGATTGTTCAAGGTAACTTATTTATACACTTTTAAAATGTTTTTAAAATATATAACATTTCACCAATAAAAAAACACTTCAAAAGCTATTTATAAACCTAAACAAACATAATATTCACTATGCAAAAGAATTCACTTCCTAAATGACTTTACTTAGAATTCAAAATATGTTATTATTTATTAAAATTATACTGTAGATGAAAGTAACTAGAAATATTTTTATTTAAGTTTATTTTATAAGATTTAAATAAAATTTATTTTAATTTGAACAGGTAGAAAATCTTTAGTAGTAAAGTATTCAGGCTTAATATTTAAATTTGTGTGTTTGGGTATGTCAGCTATAAATTAAAGATTTGTTTTATATCTTGTAAATTTTTAATAAATTCAAATTTATTACCTCACACTATGCATGCATGCTGTTTCAATCTACTTGTTATGCAAACTGGATCAGCCTGAACAAAATAGAAAAACAATAAAGGCAAAAACACAAAAAATCTAAAAAATAGCTATCGAAATTGGTCTATATACACAATTAAAAGTGTCTCTAGTCCAAATTTAACCCTAACTTTAATATTAATTAGAAGGCGGAAAAATTGAAAAATCAGAATTTAAACATCTCTCAAAATAAGGAAAAAGTAGTAATTTATATGCCTTACATAACTTTTACTTTACAAATTAATTATTACCAGTAATCAGTTTAAAAACTACCTAAATCAGTAGTAATCTAATTGGTTAATCAATTTCATGTAAATATAGCTGCTATATTACTTATTGTAATTTGTAACTATGATACAAACTCCTATGATTGATAATAAATAAAATACTAATATCATGAAGGTGGGTTAGAAAAAAGAAATAACAATAAATTAAAATAAAATACTAATATTATAAAGGTAAGTCAGAGGAAAAAAAAATTTGAAGCAGTTAAGAAACAGTTAAAAAGCAGTTAAAAAGTAAAATTAAAAGCCTTCAAAAAACAAAGCAAAGTTTCAAAAATCTTAATTGTTTCTTATAAAAACTATTATAATTGATAATAAATAAAATACTAATGTCACAAAGATGGGTTAGAAAAAAGAAATAGCAATAAATTAAAATAAATACTAATATTATGAAAGTGGGTTAGAGGCAAAAAACTATAAAGCAGTTAAACAACAGTTAAAAAACAAAATTAAAGGCCTTTAAAAAACAAAGCAAAGTTCCAAAAATCTTTAATTATTCTTTATAAAAGCTCTTATAATTGTATTTTGAGTTATATAGACTTGTTGGTAATATCAAAAGTGCTAGCTTTCTGTTAGCTTATCTTATTTTAGACATAACCAAAGCTTCTAATAAAGAAATACAGAAAGAATTATGAACTGAAGCTCTTACAGATTTTTTTATACTGTTTGTAATAAAGATTTAAATCTAGCTTATTTTTATACAGATAAAGATTTTGCTGAGATAAATGCTATGAAAAATATATAGCCAAAAGTGATATACAATTATGCCAATAGTATATTAAAAAAGGCTTAAACAAAAGCTTAGAAGTTGTAAACAAATTTAATATATAAACTATAAATATGAGAAAGTAGTAAATGAGTTTTTCTATATCAATTCTTCTTTTGTATTTGATTTATAGTAAACAGATGCTGAGTATTATGCTGTTTGCTTATTAAAACTATGTAAAACCATTATTGATTTTGTTAAAAAGCATTTCAATATCCATCCCAAGATTCCTATTAATATTAATGATTAGTTTTTAACTTCTACAGAAATAAGATTAGAAGCAATTTATAAAATATATAATTTTTGCATTGCAAAAAATCTTGTAATATTATGGATATATTTATAGTCAGCCTGGTATAAATCTTCAAGATAGTATCTTTGGACACATTTTACTAGAAAACAATACTATTAGGAAAAATGAATATGATGATTAAAGCCCATTGGAAAGTTTTAAAGCACTATTATCTCTATCAATATAATCAACTACGGCTTGACTACCTTCTGTAGATTATATACTCACGCATTTTATTTGATCAAGTTAGTAGATTTCAACAGATAGTACTTGGAAGAATAGAACTATTATTGTTCAAAACTTTTAAAGTAGAATAGAAAAATCACCTAAACAAATCAATTAACAATATTGAGGAATGTTACTTTATTGATTTGTCATACTGGATCTGTAACTGTCCTTCATTTTTCATAGCCATTTTCTTATTTGTGAGTATTTGATCTCTGAAGCTTTAAAAAAAGCAAAAGATTCTTTACAACCCATTCAATTAATCTATTTGAACTTTAAGAGGCAAACAGATTATTCTTTTCTAATTTAAAATAAAAGTATATTACAGAACATAGCAGAAAATCTACAAAATTTAGAAGCATACAATTAGGTAGATATGTTTGAACAATACACAAGTAATGAAGACAATACTTATAGGTATAAAAATATTAAAAAGAAAATTTTGAAACTGCAATATTTAATAAATCACATAAATGAAGAATAGGAAACAAATAATATATAGTATATAAAAGCAATTGTTAATAATCTAGACCATGTCTATACTATTCTTAGAGATATTAAGAAGGCAAAAAGTAAAAGATTATGTAATACAACTTGATATAGATCGAAACCTTGGACTTTGTATCTGTAAGTTTAAATAAAGAGAATTAAATTAGTGTATTAGGATTTTAGAATCAATAAGAAAAATTAACATTTATAAATTTACTTTCTTTATTTTTAATTCACTGTATAAAGATCGATTTAGATTTATTATTTTGTATTTTTGCTTTTATTCTGTTTTCTGTAGAGTTAATATATTTATTATTAATAAACATTAATATTAAGTAAAATATATATTAAATAAAGATTTAAATATCAAAAGTACTTTTAAATTTTTGGTTTGAAATGACTTGACAGTAGTATTGTTTGACAAGTAAATAATGCATATAAAATATTATACAAGGTCATTGTTTTAAAAATCACGTAAATAGAAAATTGATCTTTTGCCCTATCAATTTCATATCAGCAGTAATGCAACCAATTAAGGATATGATAAATCAATTAGAAAATTGTTATACAACAATTGCTGATTTTTATGTTATATTAATTAGAATTGCTTCAGCTATAAATCAGCTTTCAAATATAAATTCTTTTAAATCTTAAGCAACAAAAATTTACAATTTAAGGTTTAAAGAATTCACCACACTATTATATCAATTAGTATATTATTTGCACCTATTATATTATGATATATATATATATATATAATAAATAAAATAGCTATAATTA